ATGTGCGACAAGCCCTTCGTATTCCTCGTCGATGTTGTCGATAGCGGAATCCTCCCAGAGCCCAGAGAAGTGAGTGGTCACAGTTGATGACGTCTTGGGGCTTCGCTTCTTGAACTTTGCGGCTCTCTCTCCTCGCATCGAAAAGCGGAATCTTGCGCGAAGGAGACGGTGGTCGGATTCCCGTGTAGAACTGAGAACAACAGCGACATCGGTCAGGCAAAACCTTCGATTGAAGATGATGTGGTCGATCTCATTATGGAATTGTCCACCAGGAGACTCCCATGTCCAGCGTAGAGAGTAGGGCTTCTGGAACTGCGAGTTACCATAGGATGGTATGGGTCGACAACTCAGACAGCCTTTCACCCTGCTCATTCCACTCTATTCCGTGAGTTCCGATGTGAAGTTCTTCAGCCGTTCTTCTTGGTCCGATCTTAGCGTTGAAATCACCGACGATGACCGTGAAGAGGGTATAATCTTCTTGTTGAAGTTCTCAATTCCGCACAGAACGCATCGAGCTCCTTCTCGTCGTAGCTTCATGTTGGTACGTAGGCGACGAAGATTGTCTAAGCAGGAGCTTGAACCACATCTTCTCAACAGCCAACGTCCGATTCGGGTTTCGTCAGAGTTTCGTACGAATCGATGTTCATGGTCCAAGTGCGTGTTGACGAGGACGCCCACACTTCTTCGAAACACGGACGACAGAGGGGTGACGGTGTTGACGAGGCCCACACTGTCACCGCCTCTGTCGTCGCGTGTTTCGAAGAACAGCTCCTCTCCAGTCTCGTATACGGCGTGTGGCGGGCAATCTCCCCGTTTCGGTCAGACCGATGACGTCAAACTTGATGCTCCTCGCTTGTAACATTAGATCTTCTATGTGACCGATGCAAGCGTCCAAGTTGAAAGTACAGATCGTCATCCTAGTCCTGGGCGACTTAAATCTCCGTTGGCCCTGTGATTCTTGCAGCCTCGCCCGAGCGGTCCCAGCCGACGTCGCCCTGTCGGTGGTTCCCTCAGGTTCAGGGAATGAGGCCCATATTTATTACTGTTTTCGGTGTACAAAAAATTGTCCACACGTAGCTCGTCAGGCTCTAAGTGGCACGTTTCGCACTGGTACGGTTTGAAACAGTCCAAAAGTAGAAATAGAATATATCCCTCTACAAATCCTGTTCACCCACGGCGGATAGGATTTGTAGAGGGATTATAGTTCTATTTCGTACGGGTTATATTTCTTAGAAAGGTAGCTAATGTTTTAGAGCATGCCCATTTCAATGTAGTAGGCGAGCCATGACATCCTTACCTAATTTTGGAAAACTCTCCTCTGGAGAACTTTTATACTACTAGAACACACTGTATAATAGTTTGAATGGACCAGCCAAAAGAAAAATCGGTATTATTAGCCTCTAAACACAGTTAGTACCAACTGAATGACCGTGCCGGAAAAGAGCAGAGGTGGCGTTATGGCAAGCGGGACTGTTTACTTGCGACATGATCGTAGTCCCACATGCCCGACAGACCTTATGTACGCCCGCACCAACCAAGCTTTCCTTGTCTCCAGCGCTCACAGAAAATATTGGCACTAGCAGGTCATTATCCAGGTAAAATGGCACATGTAATGCCGTCATGATCTCGAATGAAGACATAGTACGTGGTGCATTTCAAAAAGGCTCGATGAACGTCAAACGCCTCAACATTTTTGTCGAGATGGGAGGTTCAGTCGACTTAAGAGGGCTTCACACGCAACATTCAGTATACAGGTTATTCTCCTTCAACCTCAATCACTTGTTCGCAAAAGTTCATTCTCATTTCAATTCAATTCCGCAAGTGTAGAAAGCGCGCCGCCTGTCAGTTCATCACCTCCTACGCAGCTGAATAATAAGAGGTAATCATTCAATCCAATTTGCTTGTAACCGAAATGGTAGTGGTGCGTCCACCCACCGCACGAAAGAACCACTATCAGAGCCAAACACGACCCCACTTCTTCTCACCCCTCTCACGACGATGCTGAACCTTGTCTATACGTCACCAAGAAACCTGCGCCCGACAGGAAGGATTCTCCCCTAGTCACAACAAATTAATCTGTCTCTTTCCTCAAATAGTGTTGATTTCCTTTACGTCATTGGAGCGGCTTACTCACCAAGACACATCGATGCTGAGGACTTCATGGTGAAGAGAAAGCAGGGACGCTTCGTGGTTTGTGATATGTTCAATTCCTTAAGTTCCAGATCTTCATGTATAGCTGTAGTCTCAGACTGTACACATGCACGCAATACAGCCATGTTCCCTGCGAGCACAGGGCGTGTGACGGGGCGTGCACTGGAGGGCTGCCAGGGCACCCTTTCCCAACAATAGCCATGTTGACAATGAACCCGCAACAACTGGCGGGAACGAATACTAAACTGGCTGCGCTCCGATCCACGCCTCTTCACACGCCTATCGTTTGCAGGGATTACAACTGCTTAAGAAAGGACTGGAGGGGAGATCATACAGAAATCCTTATAGGCAGTTATACGGATGAGGCTGCCCCACTTCAACGATATGGTTGAGGGAGCACGGGGTGACGGTAAACTACAGACTCGCACTTGAGCATCCGGCCTTTGCGAGCGCGCGGTCGCGGCGCGGTTTCGGCGCTAGAGCATCATAATCAACCACCGCGACCAGCGAGTAACATCTTAAGTTGACTACTATGAACTCAACATGGGAATATCACCACACTATACTCACAAAAGCATCGAATCTTGTACAATAATGTTGATGATGTGGCGTTTCGACGGCATACATTATACGAAGTTTTGTAAACTCATCCCCCCCATATAGTTTAATTTACTGCCACTTTAAACAAATCTGGTGAATCTCCCGAACTTTTTACAAATTTTGGGGATTTTTTTGACTCCCTACATTTGAAAAACTGCCGCCGAGTGGGTATGTGACGCGACAATCGTAAGTCTTCGCGCTATATCGGCGGACGATGCCTACGCGTGCGGTGCGTACCGCAAACGTCAGACGTTTCATTACGGCCTATAGGTCGACGACAATGTAATTAGCTAATAAAGAGACCATGATAGTATTACGGAATGTCTTAGTCATATGAAGTCGTTGATTATAATTGACAAGTAACGCAAATAAAGAAACGGTGCGCATCGTAGGTGCGAGTGAACGGGGCAATTGCGATTGTCTTGACCGTCACTCCAGAGTGGAGTGGAGGTGACAGAGTGTAGAAGAAAATCGGTGAAAAGACATATCGTCGCGAATGAACTTGAAATGCTCGGTGACTTTGGACATGTCGGTCCGAAAGCACAGAATGTACAACTTTCGTATTAGTTCGAAAGGGGCGAGATAGAAAAGGTAAAGTAGGTATATTGCATTCCTAAACTGACTGTTTTCACATCTGCGAGCTATAAGGCTCACACGCGGAATCACGTGTGCGCACTTTGTTGCTTTGAGCGTCGTAGAGCGACTTTCTATGCTCGCCGACTCTTTTGCGAGCTTACGAGTTGATCTGCTTCACCTGGACATGTGTTAAAACAAAGTGTAATGAGTCCATTCGCATAGGAAGATGGTCGACTTTGACTGCTACAAATTCGCCAGCATGGCGCCGTATTTGGGGCATAGTCCTTCGTCCTGTCCTTCTTGCGTCTGCAATCTTACGTCTCAATGTATTTTTGCCTCTTCCTCTACTAGAAAGTCAGTTATCGGCTGTTGGTTCATAATTGAACGCCGCGTATTGGTAATATTTGATCGCGGGAACCGTCTTCAAGCTTAACCCAAACTATTAGTACGAGCTTATTCGCAATCGTTTCTTCTGTAACCACAACACAGTAGATAAATCTATTCAATACTTAATAGGATTTCAAAGGTACAACATATGCAATTGTTACACACACTTAATGCGTTTTCACAAACGGGCAGGCACTCCCCTCATCGTATATTCGGACTGTCACACCGGAAAGCACCGTAAATAACGAGAAGTTCAATGAGAAAAACCATCATGGACGATGGCTAACGATGACCACGTCGCCGGTGTGACGCACCGCTTAAACACATGAAAAACGGAAGCAAATCACGAGTTTCGAGAGACGTTATAAATAATATACAACTTTCTATTATAATTGTAATAGTTATCAAAGTCGCGCGAGCGGATCATCACTTATACACAAAAACAAAGTAGTATCAAGATTGAAATTGCGCAATTGGTATTCGGTAGATGAGTAGTAGATGTTAGTACCAGAGAATTACAAGTTAAGATGACAAATGTGCGTTAAAATACAAACAAAGTAAATAATTTGCAAAGTAAAAAAAAGTAGAAGAGAATCACACAACAAACGTTATCATGAAAAAATAAAACCGCGACAAAACTATCAATATTAAGAATTACATATATTGACAAAGGTGTACGAGACCAACAACGACTATGGACAAGAGAACACAACGACTGAGAATGACGAAATTTTTTGTGCTGGTAAAAACTGGGAGGTGACGCGTGATTGGTGGGTCCTGTATGGGTGGATGTATGAACGAATAGTGACTGGAAAGTGGGGAATATTAAGGGTATAGGGTCGTGATCATGTCGTCATCACCTTAACTGCAATTCTAAGCCCTAAATTATGACCTAAAATCGCGCCAAATGAGGTAGACGATGGCAGAGACTCATGGTCTCCTTGCTATAATCAAACGGAAAAAGCCGGAATATGTACAAAATAGTAGTAAAGTCTTCGAATAACAAAGTAAAACGTACACAGCGGAAGATCAATAGTGTATAACACTACATAACATCTTTAACGCTCGCGTCAACTTATTTATAAAGGGAATCTCCTATCCTATGAAACTACGGAGCGATCGGCCGTCAAATGGCATTCGTCTCCTCACTCAAAACTTAAGACAGACAACACATACACATCTCTCTACAAGTAAGATGGGATAACAGAAGAGTAACTTGAAGGAAAATCAGCTCGAGGAAAGGGGATAGGAAGCCGTATGCACCGGTGACAATGACTAACGCTTAGCTAATTCATCCATTTCACACAGTTCGGCGCTCCACATAGACAAGGTATCTTGTCTGTAGTATCTTCCAGCTCAAACTGGTAATCGTATGTCAGCTAAAAGGGTAAAACTACACTTGAACTAACGATGATGTGAAATTCGACAAACAGCTAACTGTCAATAGGGGACAGCGAACAGTCTGCAGCGGAAACTAAGCACTATTTACCCTTTATACTGTCCAAATCACCCGAAATCACGCTAGTTTTTGACCGACTTTTTTCTGCGAAGGCAGATAAGGCTAAAAAGTCGTACCCTGTTGGGTTGTTATACCTCCTGAACACGAATATCACATCCGCTTGGCTCGAAACCTCTTGGCGCCGTCGCTACTGCAGTCCCGGCTACACTTGGCGAAACAAATGGGGGTCGCTTATGTGGGCGTCAGGCATGTTCAGTCTAATTGTTGTGATATTTGTTTCAAAGGGTCAAACTACCCCTTTGAACAAGTTTTCAGCGGATTTTGTACAAGTATTTTGGCGCCGTCACCTGCCGGTCAAAAAGTGGCCTGGTTTCAAATGATTGGGGCAGTAAAGGGTAAACAGTGCCAAAGCATATTCTAAAAAGCTCGCTCACCTCTTCCAGCGCCTTTATGGGACGATTAGCAGTGATGATGATCTTTTTGTCTTCTGGATATGGTCCCGCAGCAAGTATTCGGGTCGAACAATTAGGATCGCAGGAATGATTGATATACCTGAATGAAAAGTTGAGGAATCGAAAAAAAACGTCATAAACGACAGCTAAGACTGGATAAGGTATAGCGCAAGAAAAGAAAATCTAACCGTGCTGGACCACCGGCCATCGTCGCATCGACAAGCAAGTCCTCGTCGATTCGGAACATGTATACGCCGCGATTCTGTGCCACATACCGCTTTTCACGCATTTCTCCCACCTCACTCCTTATAACCTCACCCTAGAAAGACGTAAACTTAGCAAAAACGCAGCATCGCAGAACAACAGAACATACTATATGTAATAAATAGAAATGAGTAGAAACAAAAACAAGCAAGTATTAGGTTCATGCACAAGTTCCCGAACGTTCCTGCTACCATAACAATTCTATCCCGTAGTAATAAGAAACCATTAGTAAAACATTTTCCAAAATTCTCGTCATTTCTAAATGAATAAATTTAAATTGAATTTTTTTTGTTGTTCATTACATCAATGATCTTCGGCCAACGTGTGGGTAGGCCAGTAAACCCTGTGTAAAGATCAATCGTACAAATGGCATCGAAGATCCGAAGAAAGGTGACGATCGGATGGAGCGAATTCGAGAAAGAATTATGAGATGCGAAGGGTCGTACTTCTAGTCGTCATCAGCTCATTCTCCGCCATCCTTGGAAGGTGCAACCCGGCGAAGCTTTGCAGGAAGTATATTGGCTTGCTATCCACAAGCCACAAGCGTCTGGCAGGAGAAATCGAAAATTTAAAAAAATTAATTCTAGCGAATGTGTAACCTGCAGCATAGTCGAGGTTGCCACCACATAAATATAGGGGCCGACTCGTATGGTAATTTTTTCCCGAGATATGAGTACGGTTATTTGCAGAGGCGTTGTGGCTATCGATCCAACGAACTGCCCTTTATAGAGTATTCGTGCTCTTTCCTCTATCTGATTACCCCAAACTTTTCAAACAGTTTCAAATTTCAGAAAACTTCGTCCGAGATGAGCAGTCACATTTTTTTCGGAGACTTATGCATGAACCCAAGAAGACTAAAAAAATCGGCAAATAATTAACTGATGACGAACCTTATACTCGATAATCATATCACCCATATGAATGTCCCGCTTAGCGTAAAGCCCGAGTCCCTGAATTTTTGACCGGGCCAAATACACCGTTTGACGCCAATCCTTTCTCATCTTCTGATATAAGGTGTAGCTCTGTGAGTTGCTCGTGAACGGCTCCCTACCACTCAGCGCCTAGAAATACAAATCAGATCGTATCTATATGTCACATTAAGACCAAACAATATGCAATTCCTTCCGGTAATCGTTACAGCAACATTAAATAAGATCAGATTACAGAAACTCTTTGATACATGAAATATAAGACTCACTAAAGCCCATTCAGATCCGATACCAGAAGCTTGCAACATAGCTCGCATTTGAGCAGCGGCCAGCTCATCAGTGAACGAAGTAGCGATGCGCCCTCGCGTTCTACCACTACTAGTTGAACTACCGTCTTGCGCAGAGCGACTGAAATTGGTTTATAATGAAAATAACCTCAAAACTTTCGCGATTTCTTAAAACAAAGTAAATAAGCCGACGCCTCAATTTGAGAAGTATACCTTGTTGAAGGAGCACTGGCGAGCGCACGTTGCTTATGCTTGATAAGAGTGCGGAATCGTGGCTCACAACGAGCGCAACCGGAAGGATTCACAGCAAGCGGTAAATCCAGAAGCGGACTGTTCGGATGTCGAAACGTATAGGTGAACAAACCGTCAACACCAGGTAACTAGAAACGTCGCATTAATTCGCTGTATTTTATTCTTTCCATATTCTGAGTTTTTTTTCACCGCTTGAAGCCGAACTCGTATGATTAAGCCCTTAATGTTAAAAGTACAATAACTTCATTATGCCTGACAGGTTTCATTAGAAGTAGCCCAAACTATACGAATTTTGGAAAAAAATTG